TTCTTAGCAATGCATATTACTAATCAAACATTAAGTTTTGATATATTTACGGTAGGAAACATACAAAATATCTTCATGGAACATGATCTTTACTTAATATCCTAATGATTTTTGGCATAAAAGAGAAATGTATAATTGTGACCCATACAATGTATTGTTGGCTATTGCTACAAATATCCCCCAGCGACTCAACACTGCTTTTGTGCTGCAGGGACACAATTAGTATGATATAGCCACGATTTCCCAAAACAGGGACAAATTAATACGGCGTGACCATGATTTTTCCCAAAAAGAGGGAACAAATTTTTTATTTGTGGCCTCTGTTTAATAAAATGAGGGTTGAATTAGTACAACTTGACCACAATTTACTAAAACGAAGGAACAAATTAGTACAATGTGGCCACAATTTAGTACAATGAGAGAACAATTTAATATAGCATGACCACAATTTACTAAAACTAGGGAATGAATTGGTACGATTTACCAAATTAGTATGATTTGTCATGATTTACCAAAACAAGGGAACGCATGTATAAAATAGACATTTATCAAGACATTATGAAGAAGAAGAAAATATATACACTACCGGTCAAAAGTTTGGGATCAGAATGATTTTTAATGTTTTTTACAGGAGTCTCTTCTGCTTTGAAACTTTTATTCAGCAAGGATGTGTTAAATTGAAGTGATGGAAATATTTATATCGTTAGAAAATATTTATATTTTGAGTAAATGCTGTTGTTTTTAACTGTTTATTCATCAAAGAATCCTGTAAAAAGTATCACAGGTTCCAAAAAAAAAATTTGGCAGCCAACATTGATAATTCTAATAATAAATCGGCATATTATACTGATTTCTGAAGATCATGTGACACTGAAGACTGGAGGAATGATGCTGAAAATACAGCTGCACATCACAGAAATACATTACAGCTTAACAGAGATTCACATAGAACACAGCTGTTTTACATTCTATTAATATTTCACAAATTTTACAGTATTTTTGATCAAATAAATGCAGTCTTGCTGAGCAGAAGAGTCTTACAAAACACTGACATATCTGAATTATTCTCCCTGGAGCACAAAACCAGTCATAAGGGTCCATTTTTTGAAATTGAAATTTGTGCATCATCTGGAAGCTGAATAGATTTCCATTGATGTATGGTTTGTTAGGATCGGACAATATTTGAAAATCTGGAATCTGAGGATGCAAAAAAATCTAAATATTGAGAAAATCATCTTTAAAGTTGTTCAAATGAAGTTCTTAGCAATGCATATTACTAATCAAAAATGAAGTTTTGATATATTTACGGTAGGAAACTTACAAAATATCTTCATGGAACATGATCTTTACTTAATATCCTAATGATTTTTGGCATAAAAGAGAAATGTATAATTGTGACCCATACAATGTATTGTTGGCTATTGCTACAAATATCCCCCAGCGACTTAACACTGCTTTTGTGCTCCGGGGACACTTATTATTCATGATGGGAGCATAAAAATGTAAAGTTGTATGAATGATCCGGGTATATTTTCTTCATTTTTTTTTTCAAGTAGAGACTCAACTGTCCTCATGCACATATTGATGTATTTCACTCTTTTCTTCTCTCATATTTTTCAGAAACAATGAAATGGGAGAAGGTGAGAGCTAAAGGAGACGTGCCGCCAGGAGTAGCAGCTCATTCATCTGTAACCTTCGGGAAAAACATCTTCATCTTCGGAGGAATGACAGCAGACGGAGCCACAAACGCCATGTACAAGTTTCAGTGCGGTACGAACTCACACGCTTTTTATAACAGCTCACGATTTTAAATGAATATTCAATATATATCTTGCTTTACATAATGCTGTCATAACGAACGACTGAGACTTTTTTTGTTAGGAAATTTGTCAAAATAAAAGCACATTAAAATTGTGATTTTAGCATCAGTATTCTTTCAGAGTAACAGTTTAAACTTAAGTTTAAAAAAAAGTGTTATTTTAGTGTCATTTTTTTCCGTTTTTGTTCATTTTAGTTAAAGCCTGCCTCATCAGCATCCAGCTCTATTACCCTTTAAAAAGACATTTACTGTAGGAAAAAAACCTAATACTGACAACAATTATATAGAAATCTGGGGAATCATACCTGAACACACTCAGTCCTCATACTCAGCTTCACTTTCATAATCTAAACGTCTAATATTGTTCATCATTTTTCATAAAAAACAATGCATCAAGAGTAATGCAACAGTTACTTAGCATTTTGAGCAGCTGTATCAGTTGATAGTTATATCTTTGTAATGAAATTTCATACTACGACGTTAATAAATCTTTAATAGCTCGTCCATGAACATGAGTCCCGTCGGATTGCGTCGGCTGTGGAGATGAAGACGACAACTCCCATGATTCCACACTCAGTCACGGCATCAACAAACTATGCCTTTGTTTCTTTGTGTGTTTTGAATACGCGCCCTCTAGCTGCAAAAAAAAATTACATATTGTGCCTTTAATGAGGTCACAGAATTTAGCGGTAATTTGAAACCGATGTGTGAATGGCGCTTTACCGTTAAAAGACACGACGGCACCCAAATACTAATAATTCAATTATAGATGTAAAATTAAAATAACTGTAAAAAAAAAAATCAAAATTAAACCTACTAAAAGAACATAATATGTGTCCCTGCAGCACAGAAGCAGTGTTGAGTCGCTGGGGTATATTTGTAGCAATAGCCAACAATACATTGTATGGGTCACAATTATACATTTCTCTTTTATGCCAAAAATCATGAGGATATTAAGTAAAGATCATGTTCCATGAAGATATTTAGTAAACTTCCTACCGTAAATATATCAAAACTTAATGTTTGATTAGTAATATGCATTGCTAAGAACTTCATTTGAACAACTTTAAAGATGATTTTCTCAATATTTAGATTTTTTTGCACCCTCAGATTCCAGATTTTCAAATATTGTCCGATCCTAACAAACCATACATCAATGGAAAGCTATTTATTCAGCTTTCAGATGATGAATAAACCTCAATTTCGAAAAATTTACTCATATGACTGGTTTTGTGCTCCAGGGTCACATATCAGATATATATATAATTTATTTTTAGCTACATGTCTTTTGACCATTAAGCAACATCAGATAACCATAATAAACATGCAAATGTGATATTAACTTCAAGGGGACTTCAGATAAATATTTTAGTTCAAAGGAGTTTTAAAAGTTTAAAAGGTTTTAGATTGTGCGTCACAATATATATATTTTTTTTTTAATTCATTTTTAGTAATCAATTAAAACTAAACAAATAACAAAAAAAACTGAAAATCTAATATTGTTAACATTTCAGGGGAACAAAATCAACTTAATTTTAGATCGTGACATTTAAAAATCAAAGACGCAAACAAATGTTCGTTTTGTATCGAACCTTTATTTTGTAATGGTTGTAGAAATGTCTTCTACAGATGCCAGATTTCAATAAATAACTTTTGCGTGTGACATGACATTTATCCAGTAACCCCTGACCCCGAGCACCCTCCCTCCCGCTCATCGCCCCTCACAGAACTGCCTGAGAACAGCAGCATCGAGCCTCAAACCAGGCTGACTGAATCTCCACCGGAGTGAAGAGAAAACAACAACAAACGCAACTCTCTAAGGCTTCCCACAAGTCTTTCCCCAAAGAGATTGGAGGCTTTACGTTCGCCCGTCTCGTACAAAAATGTCTGTTGTGTTTAATGTGTACACGTAGCGAGGCGAAGGCGTTAACGTGACTGAAAACAGAGTCCAGATGATCTACAACTCGTCCTTGTCACCCTGATCTTCGCCCTCCTCCGGCGGCGGGCCACCCGCGCTACCGTAAAGCTTGCTTACGATGGGCTGCACGATTTCCTCCAGCTCCTTCTTCTTGGCCTGGAAGTCCTCGAGATCTGCGTCCTGGTGAGACTCCAGCCACTCGATCTTCTCCTCGACGGCCTTCTCGATGGCCTCCTTGTCATCGGACGACAGCTTGCCACCGAGCTTCTCTTTGTCCCCGATCTGGTTCTTCAGGGAGTAGGCGTAGCTCTCCAGCTCGTTGCGGGCGTCGATGCGCTCCTTCAGCTTCTTGTCATCGTCGGCAAAGCGCTCGGCCTCGTTCACCATGCGCTCGATGTCCTCGGGGGTCAGCCGGTTCTGGTCGTTGGTGATCGTGATCTTGTTCTTGTTGCCCGTGCCCTTGTCCTCGGCGGTGACTCGCAGGATGCCGTTGACGTCGATCTCGAAGGTGACCTCGATCTGAGGGACGCCGCGGGGAGCCGGAGGGATGCCGGTCAGGTCAAAGGTGCCCAGGAGGTGGTTATCTTTAGTCAGCGGACGCTCACCTGGAAACATGAAGATTAAAGATAAGAGGAAAATTAGAAATGGGGGGAGGACTCTTTTTCTTCAAGTTTCTCTTTAAAAAAGTTATTTAAAAAAATAATTTAAATCTGAGACAAGAGAGAGATGGCTTAATATAGCAACATTTGTAAAGAAAGCTCATCTTGAATAAAAAAAATTGAAATGTAAATGCATGTGTAATTTAACTCCATCATGGCTATTTTAAAAGTGAGAACTTTTTTTTTTTTTTTTAAGATTTAAAACCAAATCGTTCAAACTCTTTTCGTATGAATGAACCGAATAAAACTGGTAATAAATGTAAATGAAATTCAGTCGAGATGAAGTAAATGTAGTTGGTGTGCTGAAACGGTTTGCTCACCTTCATAAACTTTGATGGTGACGGTTGGCTGGTTGTCAGAAGCGGTGGAGAAGATCTGGGATTTCTTGGTGGGCACGACGGTGTTCCTGGGAATGAGTTTGGTCATCACGCCTCCGACCGTCTCAATGCCCAGGGTCAAAGGGCAAACGTCCAGAAGCACCAGGTCACCTGTTGAACACATTTCAGTCAGTAAGCAACTCACAAGAGACTGTGGTGTGATTATAGAGCCCAGCCCGAGATGTGAGGTTGGAGACAGACTCACCAGTGTCCTCGTCTCCGGACAGGACTCCGGCCTGAACAGCGGCTCCGTAAGCCACGGCCTCGTCGGGGTTGATTCCTCTGGACGGCTCCTTGCCGTTGAAGAGCTCCTTCACCAGCTGCTGGATCTTGGGAATACGAGTGGAGCCACCGACCAGGACGATCTCGTCAATGTCGGTCTTCTTCAGGTCAGAGTCTTCCAGAACCTTCTGCACTGGTTTCATTGTGGAGCGGAACAAGTCCTGTGAGGAGGGGGGAAAAAAAACAAACAAAAAAACACATTGGTTGTTTTCCATGCATTTAACAGATACAGGCACAATCAGTTATTTTTGTATTTTTAATAAACTACAACAGTATTTATCAATATCTTGAATTTTTTGATTTTTAGCTTTCATTTGGTTTTTCATTTTAGTTTTCAAAAGTTTTAGTAACCTTTTTTTTCAGTTTTAGTAATACTAAAATAAAAAAAGATCAAACCAAACTCTCTCTCTCTCTAGATAGATACAGTATTAGATTAGTCTAGATATTACAGTATTTATTAATATTTTAATTAGGTTTTGCTTTATTTTTAAAAAATTGAATTCATTTTTCTATTTTTTTTTTAATTAGCAAAAAAACAAAAAGAATGAAAATAAAAAGATAGATTATGAAAAAAGACAAACGAAAGAAATTAGTAAATCATTTAAGATTTTCCCCCTAATATTTACAGTATTAGATTAGTCTAGATATTACAGTATTTATTAATATTTTTAATTAGGTTTTGCTTTATTTTAAAACTTAATTTTTCAACAACAAAAAAAATTGCAAAAAAAATTTAATGAAAAGGATAACTAAATAGATTGAAAAAAATTAAGCAAAAGGAAAATTAGTATAAGTTCAAGCTTTTCCCCCTAATATTTATATTTTTTAATTTCAGCTTTATTCAAATAAATGAAAATCTTAACACTATTAATGAGAAGTTTTATTAATATTATTTATAAATTATAGTTCTAGGCTAGTTAAGGTTTAGTTGGTAGGCCTGTCACGATAACAACTTTTTGTTGTGTGATATATTGCCCCAGAAATAATTACGATAAGCGATATTATTGTCATTTTAAAGACCATTTTATGCCACTGAATATATAATCATAATGTAACAGCATAGTAATGCAAGAAGGCCTACACACTTCCAAATGACAACAAACTTTTAAATTTTTAAGAATATTTAGATCATGGAAATTAAGTATCAAAATATTAGATACCTTAAACCTGAATAAATAGTAAATAAACATTTTCTAACAAAAAGTGCAAAGTAACAAGTAGAAAAAAATAAAAATGCACAAAGAACTTATGGAGATTTTTCCATCTACAGATTTTTTCCTGACCTTTTCTCTGTAAATTAATGGGGCACACTATTGCTGTAAAACACAATCTCTACTCAGCAGTCAGATGTCCGTATGCACAAAGACAGATCCCTAAACAAGACCATATCTGCAGATGAAACTTTGTTTGTAGAAGGATTTGCTAAATGTGAACTAGCACCTCATGACTACACGTTATGTACGAGAAGCTGCAAAAGACACAGGCGCAAGTGGAATGCAAAAAACATGGTGACGTTAATTTTTAAGTAACTATAATGGGCGATATATTGCGTCACCAAAAATTATTGAGGTCATGTACATATATTGCGATAAGTCGATATATTGATTGCGACAGGCCTATTAGTTGGTAAAGCGGAGCTTCTCTTACCATGTTGAGCTCCTCAAACTTGGCGCGGGTCAGCGTCTCGGAGAAATCTTCACCCTCGAAGAAGGACTCGATCTCGATGCGAGCCTGATGCTGGGCAGACAGCGCTCTC